TCCATGCTGATTTCCATAGTGTTCTTAGTAGTTTACATTCCCTGCCAGCAGTGTAGGAGGGCTTTCCCCTTTCTGGCCCACATGTTGTCATTTGTTTTCTAGATGATTGCCATTCTCACTGGGATGAGATGAAATCTCGGTGTGGTTTTGATTTTCATTTCCTTTATGATCAAGGATATTGAACATTTCCTTATATATCTGCTAGTCATTTGTATTTCTTCTTGTGAGAACTGCCTAATTAAAATCACTTGCCCATGGATTAGGAAGGTGGCTTAGTGGCAGAGTGCTTTGCCTAGCATGCATGAAGCCCTGGGTTCGATTCCTCACCACCACATAAACAGAAAAAGCCAGAAGTGGCACTGAGACTCAAGTGGTAGAGTGCTAGCCTTGAGCAAAAGAGGCTCAGGGACAGTGCCCAGGCCCTGAGTTCAAGTCCCAGGACTGGCAAAAAAAAAAAGAAAAAAGAAAAAAAAATAAAATCACTTGCCTATTTATTAATTAGGCTTTTTTTTTTTTTTTGGTCATGGGGGCTGAACTCTGGGCCTGGGCGCTGTCCCTCAGCTCTTCAGCTCCATGCTAGTGCCCTACCACTTGAGCCACAGCAATACTTCTGGATTTTTTCTGCTTATGTGGTGCTGAGGAACCAAACTCAGGACCTCATGCATGCGAGGCAAGCACTGTACCACTGAGCCAACATCCCAGCCCTAATTAGGCTATTTTTGTTTGCTGTTTGATTTCCTTGCGCTCTTTGAAATTTCTGGATATGAATCCTTCATCTGTTGAATAGCTAGTGAAGATTTGCTCCCATATTGCGTCTTTGTTCTAGTAATTGTTCTTTTGCTGTAGAGAAGGCTTTTGATTTAGTGAAGACCCATTTTTATTCTCTATGTTGTATATTCATGGCTCAGATCCCCAAAACAAGCCTGCCTTGTCACAATGGTGCTTGTGATGTTACCAGTGGTGGGGATAGAGAGAGACTCTTGGATGCTTCTCTTCCTGAAAGCTGGGAGGAGGTCCATATCATGGATCCTGGTGAGGAGCGGGTGGATTTGCAAACATTGAGGACCGTAGTTGCTATTCAGAGGCATTACTATACATATTGACATAAAGGAACGTGAAACACTGGTTCAGAGCAACAGACTAGACAAGTTAGTATTGGTCTGCCCAGTGCTTCCCTCAGAAGGCACCTGGTGCCTACTGGATATGCTTCAGAAGTCCATATTAAGACGGAAGTGGCACTGTGGCTCAAGCAGTAGAGCGCTAGCCTTGAGCTGAAGAGCTGAGGGACAGCACCCAGGCCCAGAGTTCAGGCCCCACGACTGACCAAAAAAAAAAAAAATGGGCAGAAGTCCATATTAAGAAAACCCTGTTTCGGGCTGGGAAGGTGGCTCAGTGGTAGATCGCTTGCCTTGCATGCATGAGGCCCTGGGTTCGATTCCACAGCACCACATAAGCAAAAAGAAAAAACGCCGGAAGTGGCGCTGTGGCTCAAGTGGTAGAGCCCTAGCCTTGAACTGAAGAGCTGAGGGACAGCTCCCAGGCCCAGAGTTCACGCCCCACGACCGGACCCAAAAAAAAAAAGAAAACCCTGTTTCAAGTTCTAGGTCAAAGTAAGAATTTGGGTCTCTCTGAAATGTGATCAGGGATTGCCCTAGTAGACCCTCTGAGAATAAGGAATTCATCTGGCATCTTTGGATTAAGGGATCATCCAGCCTGAGGTAGACCATGCTCATGGCAGCTGGTAGAGCTCTTTCCTCCTGAGGTGAAGATCAGAAGTCTTGGTGAACTCTAGAGCTGACCTGAGCGAAGCATTTGAGCTGAATATAATCCCTAACCCCACTCAATGTATCATGCTGGTTTTTATGGGAGAATGTTACCAGACTTCCTGTTGTTCCTTTCACCCCAGCATCATTATTATTACTATTATTTAATTTTATTATAATGTATGTACAGAGGGGTTGCAGTTACAAAAGTTAGGTAATGAGAACATTCCTTTATGAACAGTGTCATCTCTTCCCTCATTTTCTCCCAGTTTTTTTTGTTACCTCCTAGCCCTGCTCCCCAGTAAGTTGCAGAGGTTGTTTTCAACATAGTGACTAGTGACTGTTACTGCTGAATTAGTTCACCCTTTGTCCCACCATTTCTGTTTCCCCTTAACCTCCCCAAATCAGATAAATTTACTTACAAGACAAAAGGGAAAAACAAAACAAAAAAATCTCACAAAACGTAAAGTGAAAAACCTGTTTCCATTTCTTTGAGTTCATTTCGATAAATTGAAATGAGCTGTCCTTTCTTTGTTCATTTCGATTGATCACAGTGAACACCCCAGCAGTATTATTGAAGAGAGTGTGTTTTATGACACCTACTTGTTGAAGTTACTACTGCAAATATTGGAAAACCTTCCACTTGACTTTTTTTTCCTACTCTTAACAAATGCTAATCAAAGATGGCATTTGATTAACCTCTTAAAATGTATTAGTCAAATATGCTCTGAATGACTAAACAGATAAATTAAATAAAATTAATTTCAGGACGTGATGATACATGCACAAGCTACACTGCTAAGTCTGGTGACAGGTCCCAAGCTCACTTCTCCCTCAGAGCAGAACTTGAAAGGCTATATCTTCCAGAAAATGCATTTGTTAGATTAATTTAGTTTCTTTTGCACCCAGAGCACATTAATATATTTCACATGGGTGCTATGGATGTGTATACTGTGTCTCGATCAATCATCCTCTCTTATTGCTAGGATGAGATGTTGCTCTCTTCATTGTTCTCTTCATTGTGGTATTGTCCACATTCACATTGGCAGACCTCCTGTTCTTGACCTGCTTTGCTGTATAGAAGAACTAGGGAGGAAATGGCTATTGAACAGCAGATTCTCAGTGGAATTCTGAGCATCAATGGTAATTTTAGTAACATGTAGCCTATGGAAAATCCCAGAGCATTCTCAACAGTGATAATTATGAGGTCTGAGAAAAAGGAAAAAGTATATACCTTGGATTATTTCTTCCAGGACAAAGGGAGCTTAAACCTTTAAAATCCATCATTATGTATGTGAAGAGTTAATCTTATTCCAAGGGTAGTGAGGATGTTCTGTTTGTTCTATGGTGGAGAAAGTGGTTTAAATGGTAACAGAAGAGCTTTAGATCAAATGGGAAGAAAACTGTGTATATCTATCTATATCTATCTATCTATGTGTAAAACACACACACACACACACACACACACACACACACACACACACACACACACGAATTAATAGGAAAGGAAAGTCAACACCTACCAATTGTGTGCCTTTCATTTCTCTGGTAAAAATCTGACCATTCACTAGACCTTGGGTTAAAGAGTATCATCTGTTGGTAGTAATAAACTGTAGGGGCTTATTCTCAAGGTCCTGATTTTTAAAATCTCATTCAATTCTATACTTTGAGAATGATAATCATTTTTGTGGTATCTCTTCTTGAAATAAGTACCCATCTCAATATGATTCTAGGAAGTTAGCAACTGTGTTACATTATGTAATTATTCATACCTCTACCAATAGGGAAGTGGTGTTTAATAAAATGCAGTGACCTAAGCAGATGTTTGAAATTCCAGACTGAGGGTGATTTTTCTAAAGGCAGCTGAATGAGTAGAACTTTTAAACTTGGCTTCTTTCTCATCTTCTGTCATATCTTGGTCTTCAGATTATTGCTATAACATGTTTCTTTCTAAAACCTAAGATTAGTTATCAAGGATACCTCAAATTCTATAAGTTGGGGAAACTTCTGAATGAACGTCCAGGTTCTGTTTTGTTATAGTAAGTTATGAGGGCCTGTGCAATGTTAAACCTCTTCAATAACAAGTTGAATAGTTAGTTAAAAACTTTCAGAAAATAATGCAGTTAATCTTGTTTTATAATACATATTGTTCTCCCTTCAACATAACTGAAAGAATGTATTTATTTTTAAAATCAAATCCAAGCTGAGTATGGTGGCATATGTCTGAAATCCTATCATTTGAGGAGAGGCAGAAAGATTGTGAATTCAAAGACATCTTTTGCAATATAGCTAGTTCCAAGCTGGCATGCACTTTATAGACAGACCTTGTCTCTAAAATAAACAAAACCTCACAATAAAAGCTGGGTAAGATAAATTGAGATTTTAAGCTTGCCCTTCTAATGCTATGTGTTGAGAAAATTTAATATTTCATAAAATAAAGATTGAGCCATTTAACAGTGTCTGAAAATAAGAACACTATATTCCAAGATTTTGAAGCAAATGTCCAGATTTAAACTTTCTCCTCACTTAAAACTTTCAAAAATTTTAAAGATGTGAACCTGCATTTTTGAATACACATTTCAAAACTTACTTTAAAATAAAATCAGGTTGCTTCCTAGCATCGTCAACAACTATTGAAGTTGTTAAAAATCGACCAGATGTCAAGGCAGTTGTAATTTGAGATGATCGATTGATTCTAAAGCTCTCAGCCAAGCAAACCACAAAATGGAGAAGAGCTAACAAAGATATGGTAGTCTCCTCTCCCTTTTTGGCTCTTTCTCTCTTGGCTTAATTTCTATTTTCTTTTTTTTTTCCCTTTATTTCTGTATCATCATTTTGTTTGTTTAGTTGGGATATGCAGCTTGGATATGATTTTTAAAGTAAATCAATTTTTCTTAACATTGTCTTTTCTTGTTTGTGAAGGAAGATTATTTTCTTTATGGATTACCATGACTGCCTTGTTACAGTTTTCTCCTTTTGATGGTTTTCAACTCTTGAAAGAAATTAAGTCATCTTTCCCTATAATAAGAGTATGCTAAGGTGGTGATACATACACTTACTTGTTTTCTCTGATGAAGTAAATGTACTTCATCTGTTGAGATGATTCTCATGTTGGTAAATATTTTCTCATCTGATCAGACTTGCATTCTTTGTAAACACTGCCACAGAACCTCCATGTCTATAGAGAATAACTTGATTGATCAAGTTCTGGCTTTCCCTGTCCTTTCTTTGTTCTAGATACATTTCATCTTGCTGTTCAGTCGACAAGGGAAATTACGGCTGCAGAAATGGTACACCACTCTCCCTGACAAAGAGAGGAAAAAAATCACCCGGGAAATTGTTCAGCTTGTTCTGTCTCGAGGTCATCGGACAAGCAGTTTCATTGACTGGAAGGAGCTGAAACTTGTTTATAAAAGGTGTGAGTACCTTTATGAGAACTGACTTTCTCAATATCGCGTTCGTTTGTATTCATCTTGAACATTTTAGACTGCAATACAACCATTTTCTGAAATCCATCCTTTCCTGAAATCCTTAAAAGCCAGGGCTTAAAATTTGTACTAACAGACTAACAAGCAAAGAACCCTCATTGATTGAAATGGTTTTCACGTGTTAGGGTGGATTCTACGTACTTAAACTATATATTAATAATGTATGTATTATTACCATTATATTCAAGACATGTCTCATGAGCACATGTATTCCTGGCTTATCAGTTATATTTGCAGACAGTCAAACTAGGACCTAGAGTTTAAGTAACTAGTATCCAGGTATAGTAATTGAAGTGGTGGTAATTAGCAGAGCCAGGGCTTACGTCCAGATCTGTCTGGCTTTAAAACCTATCATTACTCCTTTTCTTTGTATGTGTATACCAATTCTAGGGTTTGAACTCAGGGCCTAACACTCTCACTTAGTTTTCTCTTTGCATATGGCTGGTGTATTACCAATTGAGTCACAATTTTACTTAAGGCCTTTTGTGTATGTGTCCCAGTCCTGTGGCTTGAACTCAGGGCCTGGGCACTGACTGAACTTTTTTGCTCTATCACTTGAGCCACAGCTTCACTTCTGGTTTTTTTCAGTGGTTAATTGTAGATGAAAGTTTTACAGACTTTTTACTTTGAACCATGATCCTCAGATCATGGATTATAAGCATGAGCCATTGGTGCCTGGCCACTTCTGGCCTTTTCCTGGTTAATTGGAGATAAGCGTCTCATGGATTTTCCTGCCAGGGCTGGATTTGAACCATCATCCATAGATCTCAGCCTCCTGAATAGCTAGGACTACAGGCTTGTCTAGTCTTTTTTTTTTTAAATCACATCTGCTTAAAATGACATGAACATATTAGAAAGAAATCTTTATTAATGAGAAAACAGGCCCAAGATGTAAATGAAGACCCAGGACATTGATGCCCTGGGCAGAGTCTGAATGTAGCTGCACCTGATACCATACCACAGCTTTCAGGAACAAAGCACACATTGGAAATGCCTGGCAGAGAGTGTTTATAAGAGCTGATGGGTTGAATGGCAACTTCTTTGTATGACTACTTAAAGATAATAAAAAATAAGTAAATAAAAAGAAGAATGAAGAAAGAGCTTGGTAGGGGAGGGATGGATGAGAATGTTGAAAGGGGTGACATTGATAAAGATGTATTCTATTCATAACCTGCTTTATGAAATGGAAACTCCCTTGATGACTACTTAAAGATTATATAAAATGTGTATGTATATACAAAAATGTATGGGGCTGGGAAGGTGGTTCAGCGGTACAGTGCTTGCCTTGCATGCATGAGACCCTGGGTTCGATTCTCAGCACCACATAAGCAGAAAAAACTGGAAGTGGCACTGTGGTTCAAGTGGTAGAGCACTAGCCTTGAACTGAAGAGCCGAGGGATAACACCCAGACCCAGAGTTCAGGCTCCGCTCCATGACTGACAAAAATAAATAAATAAATAATATATACATATATATGTAAATAGGTTCAGGACTAAGATAAAATAACATGGAAATTTTTTTTTAAAGCTGATGGAGAGGAGAGGGTCTCTGAAGATTTTTACTTAATAAAATAAATTACTAGCAGGAGGTGGACAAAGCTTCTTCTGCTGGTGCATTCTCATAGCTTGATAAGAGACTGGGAAACAGACACAGAATGACAGAAACACTTCATGAAGTAAGAGAGTAAGGGCAGGGCCCCTGGGAGGACTGGGCAAGAGTTTAGTATTGTTTTTGTGTGTGTATGCCAATACTGGGGCTTGAACTCAGGACCTGGGCACTGTCCTTTGGCTTTTTTTTTCCCCCTCAGGACTGACACTCTACCACTTGAGTCACTGCTCTGCTTCTGGTTTTCTGGTGGATAGACTTTCCTGCCCTGGCTGGCCTTGAACTATGTCTCAGCTCTCAGCCTCATGAGTAGCTAGGATTTCAGATGTGAACCACTGAGACCTGGTACGGATTTGGATTTTACAAAGGCAATTTCCAAGCTGGAGAGGGGCATGAACAGACACTGTGGTTGCCCCGGACCAAGGACACTGTTCCCAAATCCTACCCCTTCAAGGTAGAATTTTGTGGAGAGCCATATAATGATGAGAAATGTAAATCTCCCACAATATTTTACATATTCCCTCTAGTATTTTGGGTGATGCGTGGATGCTTTCATTCTTGGATGGAGAACATCTCTGTCAGTAAGGAAGTAACTCTACTTAATATTCTTTGGGAAAATCCATCTTTATTTAGGTTGTCAGTGTCTCATCCTGTTTTTCCTTTATTTTTTTTCTTTTCAAGGTATGCTAGCTTATATTTTTGCTGTGCAGTAGAGAATCAAGATAATGAGCTCTTGACACTAGAGATTGTACATCGTTATGTGGAGTTGCTGGACAAGTACTTTGGAAATGTAAGTGTGGTTCTGGGCAGTTAGTATTGGCCATAGTCTCTCTTCCAGCTCTTGCTTCCTTTTGTTTCTCTTGCATTTTTTCTCTCTCTCTCAAGTCTAAAATGTGACTTGCATTTGTACCCAAAATTGTTTTAACTCACTTTGGGTCATAATCCATGGTTTATCTCCCTACCTATAGTTCGGAGACTTATTGTTAGACCATAGATGCGTTGGAGTACTTGTTACAGATAACCAGAGTTGGAGTGTCAAGAATTCCTTGATGTCTTCTTTATTCCTCATTAGCTTTATCCTCTCTCTCTGTTTCTTGTTTTGACCCTTATGCCTTCTCTGCAGGTATTCTGTATAGCAAACAAAGCAAACAAACAAAAGCACCAAAGCCTTTTGCTTCCTATTGTTACTCCATTACCTTCTGTCATTTACTCCTAAGTAACAGTATCTTACTGACTCCATCTTGAAGAACTTGTCCACTTTGCCAGATTAGAAAGCTCCACTGAACCCTCTCTGCTAGTCAGCACCAATAAGTGACAATTCTTAAATCTTCGTGTTTCGTCCTGTCTCCTTCACTGAATCCTGCTCATCACAATACTACTTCTTCTTTTTTTCTTTTTCTTCTTCTTTTTCTTCTTCTTCTTCTTCTCCTCCTCCTCCTCCTCCTCCTCCTCCTCCTCCTCCTCCTCCTCCCCCCCTTCCCCTCCTCCCCCTCTCCCTCCTCCCCCTCCCCCTCCCCCTCCTCCTCCTCCTCCTCCTCCTCCTCCTCCTTCTTCTTCTTCTTCTTTCCTTTCCTCCTCTTGAACTCTGCTGCTTCTTGATCTGGAGGCCTTACTTGTGCTGCTGGGTTCTGGTCTGCTGAATGCTGTCTTTTCTTCCCATCCTCAAAGTGTCTGCAATCCCTGTTTTCTGGGAATTCACTACCCCATTGCTGTTCCTTTCCTTGGTGATGGTTTTCACTGAGCTTCTCACTGCCAAGAACCAAACTCATCTTTTTAGAACTGTTGTGTCTTGTAGCAGGAATTCATTACATTCTAGGGTCCTTTAATGCTGGAAGATCTTTGTTTGTTTTTGTGTGTGTGTGTATGTGTGTTGGTTTTTTTCATTATGTCAATTGTCTTATAATACTCTGCTATGTAACAATATGGCTCTACATACAAAGAAAGAACTCACATGACAATTTATATTCCAGTATGTACCTAGTGAGAGCATAATAAATAAATACATACATACATAAATAAAATAAAAAAAATAAATAAAAAAGCAATCGATGATATTACAAGAATGCTCATCCACCAGCAGAATGGAAGGCTTTACTTTGCCCTCATCAGAAGTTAAAGGTTGAAGTAAAAAACTCCAGGCATCTAAACTGTGCCGTCACAATGAGATTGCGTGTATGTGAAGAGTATGCATTCGCTTCCTGGCACACACTGATTGCAGAGCATATCTGAGAAGCTAAGGGGTTTGCCAGTTAGATCCCTTGTTTAGATGGAATGCAGGGCATGTACTCAGAAGCAAAACACATGGTTCTGGCTTCAACCAGTTAGGGCTTACCTTTACCTACCTGCCATGCAAGAGGATCTCTACCCTTTGCTAGAATCCGCCTCTGCTTGTTCAAATTAGACTAAAGCTCATCCTCCTCATTCCATCTCTTTCACTAGTTTAGTTTTCTTGGAATTTGATTTTTGCTTTTCTTTGAGACTTTTTACATTTGATCCTTTCTGCTCAATTCTTCTCTTCTTGGTTTTGTGGCTACCATATTTCCTACAAAGCACAGGTCTAACATGTGACTTTTCTTTGCAGTCACTTTTCATCTTCTGTCATGAGTAAAATTTACACCTCAAAATCATTGGTTCCAGAATGTTGAAAGGGGTGACACTGATGAAGATAAATTGTATTCATAAACTGTGTCATTGAATGGCACTTCCTTGCTATTACTATCCAAAGATAATAAAAGTATTTTTCAACCATCATTGGTCCTAGATTGTTCCTTCAACCCCTGTATTCCTACCTTTGTATACCTAACATAGCCTCTGCTTCAGAGTGTGCAACAGCACATTACCTGGGACAAGAGTTTTCTGACTACAAAGTTGCTGATCTCTGCAATGATGACTTGTGGCTTATTTCTATAAACCAGCTCAGGGCCTGATTTCAGCAAATGCTGCTGATGCATTTAATCCCATTCATGACTTCACAAAATATACCAGTGGAAATATTTTCTTTTGGTAGACATTCTCTGCTCCATTACCTTGTTCACTGAAGACTTTTTATTCTTATCACCTGATTTTAGAAGACTTTGATTAGAGTAGATTCCTCCTGTGTTCTCTGTAATGGAATATACAGTATTTGCAGTATTGATCAGGAATTTTTTAAAAATCAGATTTGTTTTCAACAGCCTTTATAATGAGGAGCACTAAAAGAATTTTCTCTCTTTCCATCTTTTCTCCTTATAAATGATGTTGCAAGGTCTAAACTGCTGCTTCAGGAATTTTGAGTGTTAGTAAATAGAAATAAGACAGTAATGTCATCTTGTCTTTCTCTTCCTGCCTCCCTAAGATAATAAGTCGAATGTTTCCAAATGTGAGTTCATTTAACTTCATGCTGTCTTTTATTCCAAGGAATGGTGACATTTTGGTGCCTCTTTCTTTTGAAATGAACTGCAGACCTGGGCTTCTGAAGGGCCTGGAGGAGACTCCTGATGCCCAAACTTACTCATAACCTGCCTTCTCTTCTTCGTTTCTCAACTATGGTTTGCCTTTTTCTGTTTTCCTAGAGTAGACCAGTTATGGCCATACGAATTGAGAGTGAATTTTGATCTCCTTATGTTGAGCCAGAATTCAGCCAAGATATCCCAGAGTACCTTATTTCTTGAGAATCTGGATGACCTGCGCTAATGATCAGTCCCGAGAAAGTATGAAGAGACTCAGAATAAATCCCAGTACCTATAGCATTAATTTTCCATCCTATTCTGGTCTACCTTTTGAAGCTCTGTCGTGAATCAAAATTTAATTCACTAAAAAATTCAATGAATCTTTCATTAAGCTAAGAGCAGCTAAGAGCACTTCAAGGCTAGATGCCCAGTAGGTGTTCAATCCTTATTAATTAACAGTGAAGAGCAAAGGCTTCCAGGACTGATTCTTATTGACATTGTCTCAGCAATATTACCTCTCTTTGGTTTTCGTTTCTTCTTGTGCTAATACCAAAGGCTTTGAGTTCTGTCCTGATAATAACCAAGTAAAAACTTTGTGCTGAGCTTCTCTTAGAACATGGGAAAATATCATCTTCCAAAGATAGATAAGTCAAAATGCCTGGCAACTAATTTATGTATTTTTCCACACTTTTCAATTCCCAGGAGATTTATAAGGATTAACTAGTTAATCTCTCAATATTCAGTGAGTAGCATCAACCTCAGTTTATAGAGGCTGAGAAGAAAAGTCTCTGAGTCTCTCAGAAGGTAATGGTCTATCTGAGGGTTTAGACATAGGTTATATTTGCCATTACAGACTGTAGATATTTTTTATTACTATTTTGTTTTTTTGTTTTTTAACTGATGCACTGAGAATGTATGGATGTTGGTATCTTCAGGAGCTTTAGAACTTGACATAGGGGAGGTTTCTCTTCTAAGAGTGGTTCTGAGGATCCCGCTGAATTTTGATGTCTACTTGCTCACTATTCAAACATAAGACTCCCATTTTACAAATGTGAAAAATGATACTTCAAAATGAGAATAGAGGTGTTGGCTTTTCCAACCACATGGTACTGCAGTAAGGGTCACAGAGGGTAGAGAGAATAGTTGAATTTATAAATGACTTATAAATAGCAAAACTTACAAGCCATATTTTGCACTACACTGATTCACTTTATACATAGCTTTCTTATATTTATGTAGTTTCATGTTAATCTGAATAATTTCCTGTCTATAACTTTGAAACTGTATTTACTTTAGAACAGAATTTGACAAGGATTCTTAAGATTCTAGAGGCTTTGGCTGATGAAATGTCAGAAGTAATCTTACTGTACTCTACTACAAGAGAATACCTCAATATCCAGTATATTAAAACATAAGACTAGGAAGTTGAAAACAAACAAGCAGAACCTGTTGGAATTTAGGTCCATGGGGAAAAGTAAGTAGAAAGTTTCCTGTGTTCGTTTACATAGTTTATGGAGAAGGAAACCACACATATGTGATACAATTCTCAAGCATCAAGGTCATATGTATAATGTACTAGTACTGAACCTTAAGATGGAATTTTTACATATCTGAGTAACTAAGTACAACCTTAAATGTTGCCAAGGTTTTGGAACATTATTCTTCATAGTTTCAGATGAAGTCAGACTCAAAGAATAACCAGAGTATTTTTTTGGAGTCACTGTATATGAAATAGTTGCTAATTTATAGCATTCTCTATAATGCTAATGCACTGGGGATAATTTCTCTTAATGTTCTAGAGTCTAGTACAACAAGTTTGAATGAGTATTTTATGTCTGTCTGATGATACGTTCCACTTTACCTTATTCTCATCCCTTGGAACTAGGTATGGGCAATTGATGGCCTCATAGCTACCAGAAGATTCTACAGGCCTGGGGACAGTTGCTGCTCTGAGTGGGGCACAAGAAGTTCCTAGAGAACTTGTGTTAGTGTTTGCCGGTCAGGTGCACTTGGCAGGATTGTAATTGCTAGTCTATCCTAATAGGCTGCTGTCTGCCTTGGATTCCTGGTCTACACCTGCCTTGAACTCTGAGAGTCCTCAGCTGTCGCTGCTGTAATTCCTGACCTCTGCTTTTCCTGACATCTGGTAACTGCTTTCTTCTCTTATCTTTTCTGTCTATGGATGTCTAATCTACTGTGATTTCTTTTTTCTTAGTTATATTACTTAAAATTGTAAAACATTTTTCAAATCCTTCTAGACCTAGAATTTTTTTTATAAACAGGGAGGCAATATGTGTATTATTCCACAATTGTGTGTTCCATTTCTAATCACTTAGAAATTCCTGTAAGTAGTTGTACAAAT